AATACAATCGTCGGCAAACATTCGGATTTTACAGGATACATGAGATGGAAGATCGTTAATAAATATCAGGAATAAAATCGGGCCCAGAACCGACCCCTGCGGGACACCAGATGTTACCGGAAGTGAAGTAGAGGTAGCATTGTTAACAGAGACAGCTTGAGTGCGGTTACTTAAAAATTCACGGATCCACTTTAGGACGTCGGGGTGTAGGTTTAAGCGAGGAAAGTTTCAACAGAAGGCGTTTATGTGGTACTTTATCGAATGCCTTCGCAAAGTCCAGGAATATGGCATCAGTCTGTACGTTAGAATCCAAGTTAATATGCAAGTCGTGCGAAAACATAGCCAGTTGAGTCTCGCACGACAAACCTTTACGAAAGCCATGCTGCGCGGAATTGAAAAAGTTATTTGAGTCTAGGAAGTCCATAATCCGGGTGTAGATGACATGTTCGATGATTTTGCATGGAATGCTAGTTAATGAAATTGGTCGGTAATTGAGGGGTGACTCTCTAATACCTGATTTGAATACTGGGGTGATATTTCCATGTTTCCAATCACTAGGAAGCTCACCCGTGGAAAGAGACTGCGAGTAAAGTAGACACAAAAATTTTGCACAGATCTGTTGAGTGTTCTTTAGAAATTTTGAATTTATGTTGTCGATACCTGATGATGAAGATAATTTAAGTTTATCAATGATTGCCAAAACTCCGGGTTCAACAAAAAGGATTGGCGGCATGGAAGTACTGACTACGGTAGGCTGTGGTGGGGGTGGAATGTCAGTTTCTGTGCTAAAAACCGATGAGAAAGCTCTATTAAACAGGTCGGCACATTCCGAGTCAGTGGCCACGTCACCTGCTTCATTAGTGAGAGTGATAGTGCACGAGTGGTTGGGATTTATGACCTGCCAAAATTTCCTAGGGTTACTAGCAAGCAATTTCGGTAAATGAGAGTGAAAAAAAGAATGCTTAGCGTTTCGTATTGCCGTGAGGTAAGCTTTTTCAGCAGCATAATATTTTAACCATGCGTTTTCGATATTCTGCTGCTTGGCGGAACGAAAAAGGCGTTTTTTTCTTATTTTCTAATTTTTTGAGCGTTTTAGTAAACCATGATTTTTGGGAACAGGCACGGAAACTGAGCTTGGGGATGAATTTTTCGACCAGTGTATCACATTTATCCTTAAATAACTTCCAGTTATCATGCACCGTGCGATAAAGAAAATTATCTTTGAATATTGGAAGAAAACAGTTTAATTCATCATTTATGGCAGTGTAGTTTCCTTTATGATATAGTCGTATGGTTTTTTTGGTGGTTCGTTGTTTTGGAGGAGTGATTAAGATGTCGGCTTGAATTACTTTATGGTCGCTTATTTCTGACAAGTAGGAAATAGACGTTACACTATCAGGAATACTGGTTAGTATTAGGTCTAATATGTTTTCACAGTCTTGGGTAACGCGGGTTGGTTTGGTGACAACTTGAGCTAGGTTGAAATTTAGACATACATTAACAAATTCACTCGCCTCACTCTGTAGCCCTCCGTTAACAGTTAGATTAGGCCAGTCAATATTCGGGAAATTAAAGTCGCCAAACAAGACAATATGGGCATTAGGGTACTTTGTTGAAAGTTCATTTAGCACCGAATTAAGCTTGCCGGGAAAGTCAGGATTTCTATGTGGGGGCCTGTAGCACACGCCAATTAAAACTGATTGCGGTACAGCTTGGTGTTTTATCCATATTATTTCCAAGTCTGACGAAATATTCACAAAAGTTGCGGGTAGGTCCTGGCTAACAGCAATGAGCACCCCTCCTCCCATTCTGTCGTCTCGGTCCTTACGGAAGATCTGAAAATTAGGTAAGTCAGCTAGAACTTCCTGATCGCTTACGTCACTATTAAGCCATGTTTCCGTTAATAAAAGCAAGTTACTACTGGATGATGAAACAAGATTAGAGACGATTTCGCGTTTCGAAATGAAACTGCGAATGTTGGTGAAGATTACGGAAAGAGACACGGTAGTTTGCTGCGTTGGTTGAGGATTAGTTGATGATAACGGACGACGCAGTGATTGCTAGGTTACTTCCTTCACTGCCTGGGAAGATTCATCAAAGACGTAGCGTTTAGAACCTATGAGCAAAGTTTTGAAGCTTAACTTAAATGCTGTAGATTTTGATCTGGCAAAAGTGACAAGGTGTCTTCGTGCATGTCGGACGGCAGGGGAAAAGTCCTCACCAACGCTGTAGTTAGTGTCTTTAAATTTCTTGCCTTCCGACAAGATCGACTGTTTGACCTTAAACGAACTAAATTTTACAATCACAGGACGGACGCGGTCAGGCGAATGGCGACCAAGGCGGTGTGCGCGTTCCACTTGTGAAGGCTGTATTTCTAGTTCAAGGTTTTCAGTGATACACCGAATGACTGTTGCCTCTGAATCAGCAAAGGATTCTTTGGGATTAGGATCAGGAATACCATAAAATATCAGGTTATTTCGGCGGGAATGGTTTTCGCTAACGTCTGCACGGGATTGAAATTTATGATAATGCCGGGTGATATCAGTGGTTAAGGTTTTTGTGTCATCTAGCTCTCTGCGCATGCTTGAAAGTTGACAGTAATGCGTTTCCAGATTAGTCAGACGCTTGCATACATCAATCAGTGCTGCGTCAGTTGATCGCAGATGATCTTTAACAGTTTGAAGTTCCGCGATCAATTTGGTTTGTGCTACAGAAAGATTTTTCAGCTCGGTGAGTACAGCATGCATGGTATCTGGAGGCCCCGGGTTAGTTTCAATATCCCCTCCCAAAAGCAGTAATGAGCACAGCACTTGAAAACATTCGACAATAATAGCAACACAGCACTGCGGGCCCGGCAGCTGTACTAGAGAATAATTACTTGACTTTTTACAAAAGAGAACCTGGGTGTCACCAACCTGCATAGTGAAGACGAACGGATTAGTAGACTGCGCTTTCGCACAGCTACCGAGCCCACAGAGCGGCGAAGACGGATGGCACTCTTTTATAGCCGGTGACGTTGAAGTTTGCTTTGACGAGAATGGCCAGGCTGGAACGTAGATCGAGACATCTGGCGGCGGTACGATGAAGTGAAGATCGGTCGAGAGATGGCACCAGTTGTGGGAGCCATTCACAAAGGTGTTGGGGGCGGGATACGTCGGGATTTGTCCGGTAGGCAGGAAAGCCGTCAGGAGCGAGCTCGTGAGAACGGTGAGTATCTGCATAGTGAAGACGAACGGATTAGTAGACTGCACTTTCGCACAGCTACCGAGCCCACCGAGCCATCTCTCCTAACATACCAGCTTTGCAACATGCCATGTGAACGAAACCACCGCAAGAGCTGCAAGACTGTGAAATGTAAATCATGACATGTATGTCATGAAACTTATGACATACATATCATCATTTTCATGTAATGTCTAGCCAAATATGTTCTTCATACAGTCATGTTATGCCATACCAAGTTTGGTGTAAATACCGTTATCTAAACGGCCATGAGAGCTAAAAGTCGTAAGCGGATAGATAGATAGATAGATAGATAGATAGATAGATAGATAGATAGATAGATAGATAGATAGATAGATAGATAGATAGATAGATAGATAGATAGATAGATAGATAGATAGATAGATAGATAGATAGATAGATAGATAGATAGATAGATAGATAGATAGATAGATAGATAGATAGATAGATAGATAGATAGATAGATAGATAGATAGATAGATAGATAGATAGATAGATAGATAGATAGATAGATAGATAGATAGATAGATAGATAGATAGATAGATAGATAGATAGATAGATAGATAGATAGATAGATAGATAGATAGATAGATAGATAGATAGATAGATAGATAGATAGATAGATAGATACGCTCAAGTCACCGAAGTTCGCTATGAAATGCTTTGCATTTAATAGCTACAACTGCTACAAATATAACACCTTCCTGAGGTGGCACACACTTGGTGCCAAAATTCTGCTATCTTGCACACAGACAGAAAGTGAAGAGCGTCCATCGCATCGAAATTAATATGGCTGGTCAAGTAACGTTTTACCGAACGCACGATTTGCTTTCACATTTCATTTTACAGTAGACTTTCTAGAATGTAAGCACTGCTACTGTGAGTTTGATTTATCGTATAGATTCATGAAACCACACATGTTTATTTCTTCTTGCAGGAATGAGATGCTTCACTTATGCCTGCGTTGACATTCCACTGCGCTAGTTTGATGGTAACAACAGTCGTGCGCACCCTCAGTCACTCACAAGTGAACGTGTGATCTTGTTTCTCTCATGATGGAACAGGCGACCATGTGCGGAGAATTGGACGTTTTTCTATGAAAGGCACAGAAAATATTTGATGTATAATGCCACTTGGTTAGTGTGGGTAGTGGTGTGACGAAGTCTGCTGCTGCGTGTGATCCCACGTCGTACTTGAACTGGTATAGCGCATTACGGGAAAGAAGAAACGGCCGAGCAGACGGACACAAGAGGACAGAGCGCTAGCCCTCTTAGCGCTCTGTCCTCTTTTGTCGGTCTGCTCGGCCGTTTCTTCTTCCCCGTAATGCGCTATACCAGTTCAAGTACGACGAACCAACTCACCCAATCTTAAACACTCGTGAATCCCACGTGGTCTCACAAAACGAAAAAAAATAATAAGCATTTCTTTTTGTTTGAATGTTGTCTCCTTTGTATGTTATGCGTAAACAGAGAAAAGAAAGATATAAACCGAAAGACACGAGAAGCAGTGGAAGGCATAAAAAGTGAAACAAGTAGGAACAAAGAAGGCCGCCTATCTTCGCACATCCTCTAGGCTTGACAACACTAGGATGAACCTTGCCTAACGTTTTATTGTTAATATTCGCATTAACAAGACACTTCGAAATACATATTAGTGCTATTTGGAAGTTTTGAAAATACTGATAACAGTCGCCGTGGTTATATTTGGCTTAAATACACTTAAAATAAACTTATATATAGCTGTATTTGGCGTGCAGGCTTTGCTACTGCGTGCCGGAGAGTCTGGAGAAATCGCAGGACATGGCATCAGTGCTCGTGCCGCTGGACCGGCTGCCTTGCGCGAGAACCACTGGAATGACCTCAGCGGCTACTGGGGCTGAGTACCTGCCGAGGTGAATGTTTTCTTTAATTACCACTCTCTTTGGTAGCAAATGCACACGCATATATCCTTTAGCTAAGAATAGCCTGATGATGTCGCGTTATCACGTCATGTTTGCTAATTTAGTGCATACACACATACACACAAAATTGCATACACACAAAATTTGGCATGGCATTCACACACAGACACTGTGTGCTTGAAAGTGAACCACAGACTAGATTTCTTAAGACAAAAACTACATCAAGATATGCGATATATAAAACTAGTAGCTTACAAAAGCTTCGTTAGATCAATACTACAGTATGTCTCAGTTGTGTAGAATCCTTATCAAGACAGCCTGAAAACAAAATTAGGAGAAGTTCAACGCTGTGACCGTCCGCCTCATATGCATGAATTACCGCCGGATAGATTCTGTCACGCAGATGTTGAAGTCCTGTGAACTGGAATCACTTGAGGCACGAAGACAAAAAAAACCAGTTGAAAGCTTTTTTCATGATACTGCAAGGTCATCTATAAAATAACGAAGATTTGTACTTGGATGTGCCAGCGAAACGAAGCAGTCGGGCTAATCACGACTGCGTTTTAGTACCGTACTCTTGTCGAAGTGATGCGTTTCGTTATTCTTTTTTTTCAGTTGCCATTGAGATTCTGAATGCGTAGCCAGGCATTGTAGTAAATTGGAGCAATTTTTACCAATTCGAAAAATAGTTGGACATTTATTTGAGTGATCAAGCTGCCAGGTAAGATTGCATGTTTTCTTGGTTTGAGTTGCTTCGTTTTCTTTCTCCCTGCTGCGTTTAAGCCAAGTAGTGCGTAGCCAGGCAATGATGTGAATGGAGGCAGTGTTTTCCAATTCGATAAAGTGTTACACATGTAATTATTGATTGCGCTACCACCTGATATACATGTATATTTGTCGATTTGTATTTGGTTGTACCCTTTCTAAAAGAGCCCTTAAGAGAGGGTTGACAGTAATTTGAAATAAATGGATAATTAAATAAATTTTAGGCGTGCATCGCAGGTAGGCTATCCGATATCACTGAAGGTATCCCTGGCAGATTACCTAATGAATGAGCCACGCTGGCGCTCACAGCTTCACCACGATGAAATATCTGCTATCGTATAAGTAAACGCCATACCAGATGTTCACAACATTCCCCATGCTCGTTCAGAAACGTTCTCTCATTGGGATCCTCATTCCCCAACAGGGATGAGGATCCCAATGAGAGAAAGTTTCCGTGTCATGCTCTCTGCCCCGGTCATGGTTGGGTAATTTTGCAAGCTTGCGAGCCCAAAGAGGGACAGGGAACTCAGGAGTACGCAGAAAAGGGTTCTCTTAGAGAAGGAAGGCGCGGTGAAATTTCACGGCAACGTACTCCTCCTCCTTCCTCCTCTCTGTGTTCGAAAATGCGCAAGCTTCGTATCGGGTTCGAAAATGAAGCGATGTCGTTATTCTTACGACAGCGTCTTGCTGAGTGTGCAAACGGGAAGAAAACCGCTTTTGTAATGTGGAGTCAGCTCTCCTCGGCCGCCGTTATTGTCAAAAATACTTGGGCATCAATAACGGCTGTCCCCTTCGGTAGAAGGGAGGGGGAGTTCCATACTCTTGCCGTAAAAGGAAAACAATTGATCGGCGAAGAATCCAGACCGACTGCCGTATCTGGATTCCAACTTCTTCCTCTTGCAATGCTCGCCTGCATGCGTATAATCTTTGCTCTTTTTCTACACCTGTACCATTAGTAAAATCCAAAAGTCCGTAACCCTAATGTGGCCTAAATAAAATTTAAATTAAGCTATGACGTCGCTGCCATGATCCTTGCCTTCCCGGAAGTAAACGTGGAGAGCGAACATTTGACGTCGAGAACCTGTGTGGCCTTAAAATAAGACGGTGCACCACATCGTCCTCATGTATCGCCAATGAAAAGAGTCCTGGGCTTGCTGCGACCTACAATTTTCTTAATCTCATCTGCACACCCAACTCATGGTTTTCCCAACGAGCGCTTGCATCTTCATGTCAGGTACGTACTTACAGAGCAGAAACCTGAAGAATCACAAAAACGGTTTAGCTTAAAAAGAGTACGAAACAGCGAGCGATGGAAAAGAAAATGATAGGTGTAACGTTAAGCCACAGGAAGAGAGCAGAATGGGTCAAATAACATACGGTTGTCAAGGATATGATAGTTGAGATAAGGAAAAAAAGGGTATGAGATGGGCACGTAGCGCGTAGCAATGGTAACCGCTGGTCGTTAAGGGAAACTGACTGGATTCCAAGTCCAAGAGATTGACAAGACATGTCCGACTTAGCAAAAGTGAGGAACACATTCCGCCTCCCGCCCCTAGGTGATTGGGACGGTGGTTGCCTTTCCTTCCTTCCCTCCCAGCTTGCGCACGCCTATGGCTGCTTATGTGTGCAGAGAGGTGTTTGAATAGGCTTGCTAAGTGTACCCATGCCGTGGTGCGCATGTTTCCTATGTCGTGGTATGTGGTCTGAACAGGACCGATTGGTGGATATGTCAATTATTAATTGCGCGAACGTTATTACAAAGTAAAAACAGAATGTATTTGGGTGATCTACTTCCTTTGCCTCCTAAATGCTCTACCTTAAAGAAAAGAGTCAAAAGAGAGTCACAACATCATGATTTTGTTCAGGCAGTCACTTGACCTCTTTTGGAAGGTAGAAACAAAAAATAGCATATTTCAGAGGAGTGCAAGCACTCTCAAGAAGTACGTTAAGATCGCGTTCCGTGATAAAGGCGTTGCCGTATATGCTATACATAACGCACGTCCGCCATTCGAAGCCATTGTTGTGGGCTCGCTCGCTGGCCCCATCACTAGGGTGTTGCGTGTCGCCGCCCTCGCGGCGCCTTCGCCAGCGCCTCCGCTGCATCCGCGTTCTCTCTCTCTCTCTCTCTCTCTCTCTCTCCTAAGTATATTTCAATGCATTGCGCTGGTTTGTTACTAACGTCTTTGTGAGTCAGGTTCTACTTTATGCTTTGGTTACTATCTATGGTAGAGCCACTGAAAGCTCTATGAAGGACCAAGTCGTTGGTTTAACAAACACACACAAAACTTTAATTGGAAACTATAACAAAAATACTAATACTAAAGTGAACAATTAACAAAAAGTTGATTACACATGGTAAATCAATTTAAATCCACCCGAAGTGGAAGTTCAGAACCTTACACTACAATGTATATTTCGTGTGCGGATGAGCTGCGGAGCAGGGGCATGAAGTTGGTGGGTCTCACCACGTAATTGAGAGCGCGGCTATGATTACACAACTGGAATACGGTGGCTCCGGCTCTTGAAGTAGACACGGGCTGGCTGGTGACCATGATGTCTCGGTGGCGGTTGAGTGACCAGTTGACAAATCAGAGGAAACATGGCCCGGACATCTCGGTGCACAGCCCAGGTCCATAGCCCGACTGCTCTTGCTTGCCTCGCGACACTGAAGCCCGCAGGTCTTAGGATAGAGTTCACGACCGGACAGCTACGGTACTCTCGAGCAGGAACGCAATGGCAGAAGGCTCCAGCTGGTTGAAGTCCGTGGGGCTCGGTTCCGCAACCAGACGGCCCATCTTCAGCGCCTGGTTTGGTTACCACCTTCCACTCACCACGTTCTCTTCGAACACCCTGCTCTTCTGCGGCTGAAGATCTACTTTGAACTCTGGTTTCCTTGCCTGTCCTGACTTGCGATTTCTTACGTCCACCCTTGCGCCACGCATTTTTGTCCTATACTTGTTTCGGCATCATCTTTTTATCCCTTCATTCAGCCCCAACTCGCGTGCGCTCTTCATATTTTTGAGTTGTGCACTTTTCAAAGGCGCACACTTCAAACACGCATGACACCCATCTCAGAGGCCCCACTTTCAGTAACTTTTTTTGCAAAAAACTGCCGTACAGTGCACGCGACACACCTCTGCCATAAACGTAAACAGCACACACTTTCCTGGGCTGACCCGTTTCAGGTACAGTAGTCAACATATAAAGCAGAGCAGTCGCGAAAATTCGGCCCGTTAAGTACAGCGGACTGGTTGGTTAGGCGCACTCTTTCGTACTAGCGAATACATATCACATACAACGTACATTCCTAGAAATGACTTCCTTTACGTTGAACTATCTTTCACTATAATCATCACCAGTCTTGAACGAATATTAGTGCGACAAAAATGGGGACGGGAAAGAAATGACAAGCGATAGCGCTGGCTCGCAGCTAAACTTTGTTTAAAGAATCGGGATAAACAACATCTGAAAAAGCAAAGCAAAGGAAGTACCATCGCGTAAGCTCCAAACTCAACAAAAGGTTATGTGGCTGATGAATCCAACCTGCTTCCGTCGTATAGTTTCTCAAGCTAGGTAGTTCCTTCATTAGGAACATGAGAAGGTCACTTGCACTGTGCACCACATGTTTGTTTAAAGTTGCAAGAATGCCTCTCGCTCGGCTCGTCGAAGGGCCTCTGGTGGATACGCGGCGTCTTGTTTACCCTCAACCATGGCCGCCACGCTCTTTCCTTTCTGACCGACGTATGCTTATCCTTCATTTTCGCTGCCGGGATCTGAAAGTTTGCAACCACAGCCACACTTCACTCCCTTGTTTGCACTAAGGCCTTTGGCAATCAACTACTAGGCAACCCACTCAGCCGCTTCATGTCGGTGCAGCGGATCACACTCCGAACACCCGAGACGTCATGTTCAACGCGGAGTGCTTAAGAAGAGCCGGCTGGTTCGGTTTGGTGCTTTATATGCAGTTGTTTTGGAAACACTGGGTCCAATTTTGCTTTAAGAAGTAGCGGCGAGAGAAAGGAGACGTGAGACGACATCGAAGGTGGCCGACGGGGCCGTGCCAATCTTGCCACTTTATTTCAAGCCTGAAGCGGAGCCGCAGCGGCTGCAAGCGTTCGACACGAGGCACGTGAGCTCGTTCTGTCCTCGCGCAATTCGAGGTAGCATCAGCTTCGGAAGAGGCGTGGTGTGGTGATAAAGGAATGATGACGGTGATGATGGCATTA